TTTTGGCCCACTCTCTCGACTTGGGCACAAGTGTCCGTAATGTCGTTAGCTGTTTTTGGCCGTTGTTAATTTGCCACTTTGTTGCAGCGCTAATGCCAATGGCAATGGCAATGGCAATGACGATGGCGTTGGCGATGCTAATGCCAAGTGGCCTTTGCTGTTAGCCAAGATCTCAGCAGCGCTGGCTGTGCGTGCCCAATCAGGCGGCAAACCATCCGATGCGAGTGCACTGAAACGGAACTATCGGGCTCTCAGTTTTCAGCACTCGACACTCGACACTCCACGGTGCTTTAGAATGACCAATGTGGTCTCAACTTTCCAGCCAGTGCCAGGGCCAAGTTCTATATATTTTCTGTCGACTTTTTCTTTGCCCTGGGAGTTGCGGTTGCTGCCGCTGCTGGCTGCCGTCTGCTGTCAGCTGCAGCAATAGAGCCCGCCCTCTGGGTTTATCGCTGGCATGCAAATTGCATAAAATATTGCCAAGCTATAAGAGCAGATTGCTGTTCACTGAATATGTGATTTGCGGTCACAATGGCTGGAGCTGGAGCTCTAGGGACCAGAAGCAGATACCAAATGCTAGCTGGCTTGTTGGAAACCACTAAAATGTTGCTCAACCAGCATCAGCACCCAAGCTGCATTTGTCAACAGTCTCTGGCAGCTACAAACAGTCGAAGATTGAATATACAGAGAAGAGAAATAAAATCTCTCACACACACATACACAAAGCAACAGCTTACCTTAAGTACCGCGAGTGTCATTGAGGTGAAACCGTGTCCGTGGCATGCACCCTATTCAAATCTTAATCTTAACCATGAAAAACCATTTCCCCAGACACATGCTGCTACTGCTGCTGCTGTTACCCCTGCAATTTCCTATGCTAATTTGCAGAAATGCTTTCCGGCCATAAAACCCGTGAGTGAAGAGCGCGTCGCGCGAGATAATTAAGATTTTTGGTATTTTCTAACGTGATTCCGCTCAAGTACGTACAATTTCCTGGTATTCGCGCAGCATCTGGCGCGCATCCTCAACGGCACGGCGCGGCACGGCTCACTTCCTATTTGGCCATGTTTGGGCGTGCTCACACATTTCCAGCCATTAGTCATTAGCGGCGATTGCGACCCGGCCAACTTTTCACCTGCAGCCCGAAGCGGAAAGGCCGAGCAATATGAATATTTTGCGTTTCATGATGTTTTTTTTGTTTGTTGCGGATTTTCCGCTCGAAAAACGTGATCTCCACAACGAGTCCCAAGCGGTCGGTGCCGCTTAATTAAATCAGCTAAGCACCTTGACCCACTTGCCAGTCACTGGCCACCAATCGCACCACGCGCACCACTCGCACCACCGCATTCACACACATTCGCAAATCTGCAAATCACCGAAAACAGCATTAGACATGTTTCGATTTTTGTTATTCGCACATTTCGTGGACTGCGAACTGCAAACTGTTTGTGGACTGTGGCAGCTGCAGCTGGTTAAACACGTCTCAATGCCTGCTCCCGTTTCAAGGCCCGTTGCAATTCATGAGCTATGCTAAAAGCGATCCGCTAAATACGTAACTCAACTCGCGAATTGGCCGCCTAGCATGTTGACAACTGTTCGCTCCATCGTATCTGTCAGATACAAAACATATACATATATGTATATACTATTACATATCTCGTTACGCCACCTTGCTTATGTTGTTTACGGTGCATTTGCATGGTGGGTGCGTCTGCAAGCCCCACTACAACTGGCTGCCGTTCCGCTATAGATAGTGCCGCCTTCAGCTATCAAGTGCTGAAATGTGGCTAGCCTCTCAATATGGTTAACTGTGCTTGGCTTAGCCAGAACTTTGTATACACCTTTACGGCCTAACCCTCAATTTTTGCATATATGTATAAGAAATTTTAGAGGTTATGCCGTTTAAAAAGGGCTACGGCGAAATTATGTACACAAAGTTCTACCTAAGCCGAATACTGGCTATTGAGAGATATTGTCTTCATGGCATTACTTAAATCTAAACCGTAGTTTTTAGCACTATTTTATCGTTATATATATAAATACATACTTATGTATCAAATAAAATATTGTAAAAAGTTGCAAAAAATAATTATTGGTAAAAATATATACATAATTACATATAAAATAAAAATAAATAACAAAAGTCTATTACTTTCGAGCTTATAAAACTGTTTATAGAATGAATTTAATGTTCGTTGAGCCAACTAAAAATTGTTAATATACAAATAATATCAAATACTTCCTAGTCCTGATAAATTTTCATAAAAAAATAAGTTTGTCGCTTTGGCTTGGTCTTTGTTTTTCTCGTTTTCACTGCAAATGGCCGTGCCTGCTTTTCCGATGTAAATTATTAGCAGCGCCTCCTATCTGAGTGCCTGAGTCTCAGGAGTGCCATGAACTCAATTATTTTCGCAATTATTTTCATTTTTAATGAGAATTCGTTGCTCTGCGTGAAACGTGGTGTTAGATACGATTGCGGTAGCTACAATACTAACCTGACTGACTGTACGACTTGTTTAAAGCGTTAGGCGCTAGGCGCAGCTGAGGCGCCACAATTGAAAACCATTCACAGCTCGTGGCATTCGCTGCGTCATTGATGTGGCTGGCAGCCTCGAAATAAAACTGTTTATTTCAATTAATCTAAGTCTGCCCTCAATTGAAATGTCAACATGCTGTGAGCTTTGGTTCTCCGTTCTCCGTTCTCCGTTGGCCGTTGGTCGTTTGCCGTTAGAGGCTGCCTGACATAATATCTCGTCGACTGCTATCTGTGCCCTGTTGCTGCTTCAATGCATGCCACTCACTTTAAAGTGGGTCAATCGACAGCATTTAGCTGTACTTCGTATCTCTGTATCTGGACGCAGCATCTGCAGAGCTTTTGGCCAAACTTGGACACATTTACTTACATTTGAACATGGCCATTTACGAGCACATTTTGCTAGCCCCAAGAGGAGGCGGCGGTGGAGGTGGGGTAGGAGCTGGAGAGCAACAACTAGTCAAAGCTGTTGTGTGGAGTTGTTGTTACTATTATACCCTGTATTAATTAGAAATTTACACAACGAAAGGGGTATGCCTTGTCAAAAAGTAATTAAACTGAAAAGAGATCAAAGATCATGAGAGAACATAAATTTTGTATCTAGCTTACGGATTTCCTTTAGCTAATCAAGTGTTTTTTATAGGCCATTAAAATAAAAGATTAAAACAGTCTGAAACTTAGTCTCTCATATTTCTTAAGTAAAACAAGTTTATATAGTCTAGCACTAAAAATTAATGGATTGAAGTAACTCTATACATATTATGATGCTTCTTGATATATTGAGAAAGCTGTTAGCTAGGCATATTATATTTCCTGTTTGTTTCTCATTCAGTTTTCACAATTGTTTTCCTTTATATATACCTATTTTTAATATAGACTGAACTAAGTTTAGTATCAAAATAATATTGAATTACCCAGTAATTAAATAAATCTATAGTAAAATAGACTTTCTTCATTTTCTGTAAAATACAAATTTCATAGCCAGATCAGGCTGTCGTATATATGAGTGGACACAACTTGCTGCAACTGTTTGCGGAGTATCTCTTGATTGTGGACTCCTTGGCTAGAGCACTCTTACTTGTTTTCTTTATAGCGAAACCGGTTTCACTTAAATGGCGCACTGAAGTTGCAGCAAAGTACGAAAAGTGGTTTATGTGGTTAGTCTCGCTTCCTGGCGCACTCGTCAGTTGGTCTGCTGCTGCCCTCTGAAACCAGTTTTGGCAGCGTCTTTAGATTTGGCTTTTGTCCGTTGGCTGGCTGGCTGGCTGGCTTTCTGGCGGGTTCACTTGGGTTCGGTTCGGTTCGGCTCGGTTCAGTTCAGTTGGTTTGTTTGTTTGGGTCACGCTTTGATAGAACTTTGAGCCCACTCAGCGTGCTGTACAATTATTTTATGTAAATTGCTGGCCCTCTGGCCGCGTGTCTTTTAGTTAACTGACTTCGTGTCCCTATGTCAGCAGCTCTTGGCCAAGTTGGCTGCCCAACGACAGCTTTGTGCTTAGCCTTATTCATTTGGCCAAGCTTTGTGTTTTATTTTAATTTCCAATTGCCACATTAATGCCAGCGCTGGCGATAAATCTCAGACAGAGAGAAAAACCTGCGCAATACTTTCCCACAACAAATCAATCGCTGGGGGCTGCTTTACTTTGGTTACTTTTGTTTATTTATGGCCCCTCAGCCTTGGCAAGCGTTGGGCTGGGGGTTTTTGTTCAGCTTCGATTTCATGCTCGGCGCATCGTTTTAGAGTGGAAGTCATTTAAGTGCAGACAACGTGCCACACTTGGCTGCCCCCGCCGGTCCCGCTGCAGCTTTCAATGTATGCGCCTAATTTACATTGCCACCGACTGTCGATTACGCCAACTTGAAGCGAGTCTCACTGACTCACTGACTCGAAGACTGGCTGACTAGCTGGCTAGCTGACTAACTGTGTGGCTGACTGGCTGACTGGCAGTTGCGATTGCTGTTCTTGGCTCAAACCGCGCGTCAAGCAAATGTTGCACGGCTGTTGCGACTCTTGTTGTGTCTTGCTGCTGTCTCGGCCCGTGTTGCACCTTAATTTGGTGTCTTGTGCTTTGTGCGCGCCAGTCGCTGCTGAGCCCCAGTCCCGGACACATCCAACCACATTAAGCGTCTGCGTCTGCGTCAGCGTCAGCGTCAGTGGTGCACAGTTTATACCTGCATAATTGGATTTGCATTGTGTTTTATTTTAAGTTTTATTTATTTTTATTTGCGTGGCTCGCCATTTATTGATTTGCAATAAGTGTCATAATACACGCTGAGCCCGCCATGGAGAGCACCGAGCCAGTGGCTGAGTTTCAGAAGATCAAACTGCGACCCGTGCCCAAGATCAAGCGGCGTGCACCACAGCCGCCGGCTACCCTAAAGCTGCTCAAGAATGTGTGAAATGAATATTAATTATGGAGTGCTATAAATAAATGCATTAATTTCATAATAATTTCAACATTTGCAGACTTCGTCCACCACAAAGACAACAACGCTCACTACGCCGGCCAAGCTGTACGGCAAGGACTTGAGCGAATACGATGATGTGGATGTGGAGAGTCTGTTGGCGCAACTGTCGCCCGAGGAGATAACCATACTGGCCAAAGAGGTTGATCCCGATGTAAGCAATGACTTGGATCTCTTTTCACATATCCTAAACTTAACGAATCCTTGACTTTTCAGGACAACTTCCTGCCACCAGACCAGCGCTGCAGCTACGAGTGTACCAAGGATGCTACCGGGCCGCTGAATCGCAAACAGCTCATCGAGCATATTAACAAGCAGGCAATCGAGACACCCGATCAGCCGGAGTTTGAGCCGTATGTGCAGGGCAAGGTGCGCGGCAAGAAGTGGGTGCCACCACCAAGGGATGCGCGTGACATTGAGGCGGAGGAACAGATCGCCATTGACATGGGCGAGGAGTACGAGCATGCTCTCAGTGATGCCACGCAGGAGGAAATTATCGATCTGGCTGCCATTCTTGGCTTCCACTCGATGATGAACCAGGATCAGTACCACGCCTCACTGCTGAACAAGGGCCAGCCGGTTGGCTTGGGCTGGGATGGCATCACAAAGTCCACACAGCAGAAGTTGTTCCCCATGGATCCGCCCAACAGCACAGATGTGGATGAGTCAATCAAGCGCGTCAAGGATGACGACAACAAGCTAGTTGACCTGAACTTGAATAACATTAAGGTGAGTATTTACGATCCAAACTAAAAGTATGTGTATGAGCTAACTATGCATCTCTTTGTCTCTAGAATATATCGGATGAGAAGTTCGAACAGCTCTTTGCAGCACTGCCTCAGAATGAACATTTGGAAGTTCTATCGCTGACAAACGTCGGACTGACCGATAAGACAGCTCTCCTGCTCGCCGAAGCGATCGAGAAAAGCAAAACCCTGAGAGTATTAAATGTGGAAACCAACTTTATCAGTCCGCCCGTAATTGTCAGACTAGTGCAAGCTCTGCTCAAATGCCACACCATCGAAGAGTTCAGGGCCTCCAATCAGGTAAGTGGCGACAGCTCAATTGAATTTTCAGTTCAATTGAACGAGAACTAACTCCGCTCTTATGCTCGACACAGCGATCTGCGGTGCTTGGCAACAAGATTGAAATGGAGATCACCAACTTGGTGGAGAAGAACCCATCGCTACTGCGACTCGGCTTGCACCTGGAGTTCAACGATGCGCGTCATCGCGTGGCCGCCCATCTGCAGCGCAACATCGACAGAAGTAAGTTGGTCGCTGCCATTGGCAGCTGTTTCCCCCCACGCACAATGGTTGCAGGTTCTCAGCGTTGGTTCTGCTCGCTAGGCTCGCGATCCCTTTGAATTTCTTGATATAATGAAATTACGTATATATATATATATATATAGGCCTTTATTCACGTATGACTCGTGTGTACCTCACTCGCGTTTAGGTGAATTGCAGCAAGGTACGTTAGCTTTCCACGCCGACGCTTCGTCACCGTCATCCCCATCCACATCAGCATCAGCATTTCCATCTACATCCGCATCAGCCATATCGCACTCAAAGGCAAAGAGTTTGGCTGCTTTCGAGCAGTTCGTGAAGGCTCGCACCTGGACTAATGCATCAGATTCTGCTCATGTCTTGCCAGCAGGGCGCATTACGCGCAACTTGCAGCTGACTTCCATGGCAGGCACATCAACCACAACTGGAATCGCAGCCGAGGCCTCCACATCCCGTGCTGCCCTGAGCCGCTTGCGCGCGGCGAATGAGAAGGAGATCTAAGCTTGGATGTCCTCTCTCAGTACCCAAACGACGTTGGTAACGAAAAAGTAGTTGATATGCTCTCTCTCCCCCCTGTCTCTGTTTCTATCGTGTGGTAACCAGGTAAAATGTTATCGTTTCGAGAACCCACCCGACGTCTTTGGCATCTCTTTATAGTCCAGTCGTTAAGCCTAATACTTCAGCACATCTCTCACCACTCAGCGTTCGTGGCGTTCATGTTCTCGTTATCGTTTTCGTTCTCGTTCTCGTTCTCGTTTTCACCTCTCGTTTCGTTGCGTTGCGTCACCAAGTGTCAAAAATCTAGTTACATATGCCTAAGTCGAGCTTATTTAAGAACACATTGACTCACTCACTAGATCAGAACTTACACATTGTCATTAGTAGATCTAAATTAATGTAATTACTATAAATAGTGTATCAAGTGTTGCTAAGTCAGTTTTACATACTAAGTCAGCTGTACGGGAATATCATTCTTCACGTAAACATTTTGCTATCTCCACTGCCCCATCACACACATATACATAGCCATACATATATGTCTGTGTGTATAGTTCCCCGTTTCAATAACTCCTCTGTATTGTGTCTTCCTCGTTAGCGACAGTGAGAAATCTTTATGTCTTGTATATACCATAGAATGTGTGACAACTTGTCTACAGTACGATTCGATATAAAGCATTATTAATCAATTATTTGTTATATATTATATTTAAATCCCGAAACTATCAAACTGTATCCCACAACTCAACTTGTCCTCTGTGTATATTAAACTACCGCTACCAATCAACCAACCAACCAACAACAACAACAACAAAAATTCCAAACGATCTTCAGTCTTCCGGGTGCAAAAACTTAAGCCCAATTTGCCCAAATTGATATTGCCCAGCAACATGGAGATTGAACGTGATCTGGGTCACTCGGCAACGCCCTCGCCGTCGCCATCGCCATCACCGTCGCCACAGCCGCCGGCCGACTATGATGTGGAGGTGGATCCCGATAATATGGTCATACGGGGCGGCGGCGGCGATGCCTACGATCCAGAGATCGATCCCGATAATATGGTGGTGCCCGGCAGTCGGGCCGTGACGCCCAACTATGACGACGAGGGCGTCTACCAAGCGCACACGTGAGTGAAGCCACCAAGCAACACCCAACAGAAAACACCACCCAACAGAAAACACCACCAACACCATGCACACCGGAGCGGAGTTCGCCCAGACACAGTCAAAAATGTACAGACAGTCAAACAGCCGCCACTCGATCAATTCTCGTTCTCTCACCTCGCTTCACCTCGTTTCGTAGTAACGTTGTTGTTGTTGCCTCTTGATCCACCAACATTTTGTGTTTTGGCCATGGTGTAAAGAAGGGCTCGTTCTGTCCATAGCCAGAGCCAGCTCTCAACGTCTTGCAGACCAAGAACGTGTACATAAAACTCAAACTCAACCCAATATAAAAACAAACAAAAAACACAAATGTATATCTATCTGTACCTGATCGTTGTCGTCGTTATCAGCAGCGCTGCTCATGCATTTTGATTCATATTGTATATAACTGGGACACGCCCATCCATCAGCATTAGCTATGCACTACTAACATCCCAGTAAAGTCTCTAGGAGCAGACGAGCGGCTCTTGTATCTTGTTTTTACCCCAACTCAGTCTACTCTTTGTGCTCTACCCCCTTATGTTGACACTAGACCACCAGACCAACAGACCAACAATATTACCCTCTCTCAGACAGTCAAAGAGTCGAGAAGATCGATTCAACAAAGCGCTTTACATTGTTTCTTATGTGTTTCGTCTATTCTCATTTTTGTGTACTATTTCTTTCTCTCTATCTCTGTCTCTCTGTTTCTCGTTTACAGTAAGAAAAGATCTTGAGTTACGCCTGCAGTACAGATTTTTCAATAATCTGCATAGAAAGTCAACAAGAATTCAATAAACCAAAAAAAAATAAAATAAAGAAAAAACCTAAAAGAAAGAAATGCTAAAAAATCAAATCAAAGCAACTAAACTAAACATTTTTAATGAGTTTTGTAAATTTAAAAATAAAAAATAAAAAACGAATAAAAAACAACAAGTTTAATCTCTGTAAATTAAACGTGTAAACAATATATAAAAAGAAGAATATAAAAGAAAAGAAAGAAGCAGCAGCTGCATCTGGCAGCTGGCATCTGAATGCGTTAGAGAGACCAAGAAGTAAATAATATATAAATTATATATATATATACATATACATATATACACACACATACATATACACATACCTATAATGCGCACAACGAACCACTGATACATGCAAATATGTAAATATATCTACGATACAAGCATATATAGAGAGAAGATATATTTGAAACTGATTTACGACAAAAGTCAAGGCATCTAACCCCAGCAAAAACTCTAGACGTAATGTGTATAATTTTGTCTAATCTCTAACACAGGTATCTATGAACACGAATTCTACGTAAAATGTTTCTTTTTATAATCGCAAAACAAAAACAACAAATTCGTCTAACCACACAAGCATTTTCGAATTTGAATGCTGCGGTCTAGTATATATGCATATTAATATTATAAAATTAGAAGATCTTAATTGACCTTTGAAACAAAACAAGAAAAGAAAAAAAAACATAACTGAAGACTGTAAAGCGTACTGATCTTTTTGTACTTTGTTAAGCCTTGCATCCGATATTAACTGAACTGAAATATTATTATAAGTTTAAATTGAGAACTGCATGTTTGTTAACCCGTCTACCATGCTGCATGACACGCCCACAACTCCTGATCCGAAACTACCTAAAACTCATCCCATTGGCATTGACTAAACCCAAACAGAAGTTGCTGTTCAATCCACAGAACTCTAATAAACTTCTCTTCGTATAGGAATTAAACTGCGATGTACAATTTTTAAGTGAAACTAAAAACACAAATAAATCAAATAACAGCCTCAAATAACAGCAATATAAAATGATTTAAAAAAATATATATTTAAAATTAAAATATAAATGCCATAGACCAAAATGTCGAAGCAATTTCTATAATTCAACAAAGGCAGCATCACACGAACAACAACAACAACAGCAACAAGATAAACAAGAATCCACTTGTAAAACCATCTAGCAAAGCTCTCAGCGCCAAGCCATGTCGAACAGTTGGTATCCAAAACTTTTACTCAGTTCCTTGTTGTTCGTTTGTTTGTTTGTTTGTTTGTGCCACAATACTAGTCTAAGAAAAGAAGTAAACAAAAGCCTAACACTGCCAGCGTTAATCTTAAGCGAGCCCAACTAATGCAAATCCCAGCCCGAGTTCTGCTTAAACCCCAATTAAAAGCCCCTAGTTCCTAAGACTCTTGCTCAAACATTTCTTGACTTGCGAGCGAATTTTTGTGCCGACTACTAAAACATAAGTCCAATGGGCATACGCCTTGAATGTTGTACCCAAAAGATTGATTGATTGATTGAATTTATGACAACCTGTTGTATATTTTGATTAACCTTAACTTAAATAATTTGTATTCCTCTGTTCAGTGTTGCCATTTAACTAATCACATTGTATTTGTCTCTTCTCTCTCTCTTTCTCTCTCCCACTCTCTCCTCTCTATCTTTCTCTTTATGTCTTACAGTACGTGTGAACCGCCTCAATCAGCGTAAATAAAAAGACAAAACATGCCACAGCCAACCAAGCAACCAATCAACAACAGCAACAACCTTTTTTGTGTGTGAGCGTGTGATTTGTGTCTTTGTTTTATTGTCCAATTATATACGAAATTAACAAGAACCAGCAGCAGCAACACCACCTGAACAACAACAGCAACCACAACAACATCAACAAGCAGCATCATGTGCGCCAACGATTCTGTGTGTTCAACTCAACAACAACCACAACAACAACATCTTGTGATTCTCCCCCTTTTTGTACATCTGTGTAACCGCAACTCCACCAACAACAACAACACCACTACCACCACCACTACTACCAACAACAACAACAACAACAATATCAGCAATAACAACTACAATACCACCTAAAACGACCCACACCCAACAACCAGCCGCAAAACTAACACCGAAGAATGATGTTAACATGCAGTACGTATCCGAGTATCTGATAGATACATCACATAAGTATCTTTAAGCTAGAGCAGCGCTTGCTGAAAGCGAGTGTTAACACGTTGATAGTCCATAAGTAGTTTAGTAAATATTGATATCTCAGCTTAGCATTAACTACAACTTCGATATAGTTATAGATAATGGATAAACCCAATGTTGGCACTTGATATCAACTGCAAGTGTATCAATCGTGCGTCATGCATCGATTTATTTATACATTTTTAACAAGTTTCTTGCTCCTGCTCTGCTGTTGGTGTTACATATGTCTCTTAACTTATCTATAAACTATATAATTGAAAATTGTTTGCTAATCCCAATTTATGGCTATATCTTTTGCAGTTGGTCGTCAGCGGCGCATGGGTCATCTGAGCAGGAACTATACCATTGGCGTTTGGCCGTAGGCACCGAGACGTTCTGGCAGCCCCGGGCAGATGCCTATCGCATACTCATATATGTATACATGATATACCGGCTGATATGAACTATACATATATGCGTCCGATTATGTAGTTGATAGTCCCAATTGTTGTTGCTGTTTTACTCGAAAGTTGTGCCACTCGCTGGCTGCCCAACTTTTCGTTTGTTTCAATGTTTGTTGCGTTCAATGGAATTTTATTTCAATTATAATAATTTGTTTTTTTTTTTTTTTTTTTTTTTTGTACTGTCCGCATAAGGGCTTTGTGTTCATTTATCATATGTTAGTTATTTGAGTTATGCAAATGTTTGTTGTCGAGCAAAGAACACACACATACACACACAATGATATATTTAAATTAATTTTATCTAGACATTGGCATTGTTGAAATCAACAATTACCAAAACCAAGCAGCTTAATTCTATCGTGTTGTAACCTTAAAAGAAAAAAATCTTTCCTTAATCAAATTTGTCAATTTTGGATTGTTCAGATATTTACGCTGCAGCTTCACACGTGCCCATCCCATTTTGCAATTTGTAATTTTTGATAACGATTTGATTTGATTCGGTTAAATTCAAAATTTAATTTGGTTTCATCTCGTTTAGTTCGAAAGATGATGGCAAGTGCTTGAGCTTATAAATATTTACATGCATACACATACGCGTACACACATACATGCGAGTACATTATACTTATATATATATACACACATAATTATATATGATACATATACATATAGCCATGGTCTCTGAAACAATTTACTGCTATTGAATTATAAAATTGCCTAAACATAATGTTACAATTTTAATTTTAAATACGCATAAAAACAAAAACCGATACAATTGTATATTGTAATGATATATCTTACTTTATATGATCAAATGCGATGCTTTTAAAATACAATTTTTAAAAATCATGAAAAAAAAACATTAAAATTAAATAAACCAAAAAAAAATTATATCAAATTTTGTTTATTAATGTATCAAAATGAATCAAATTTATTATATCCGAATTAAGATAAAGATACAATAGGAATTCTGCCTATGTTTGCTCACTGAATTTGTCTGATATTCAGTCTACGATTGAGTCATGGAAAAATTAATATCACCGACGACACCTGTGCCAGTTGATTTGGTCGATAATGGCTAGCCAAACAAGAGCAAGTCGTGTGGCCGAAACAAACAACTGGCGTCCCGCTTCCACATTTTTCAACAGGGCAAACATCGGTGGCCGCGATAAGATCGCGCTTTAGGTGCCCAGCATCCGGCGCTATCATTCAGTCGCTGCATAGCCAAGCTAGCAGCCGGAGGCAGCTACCGGATTTACACAGTATCGTATCAAAGGGGATACCGCAATGTCCACACTGGAGACTGAGGTGACCTTCCGCAAGCGCGCGGAAGTGAGTCAGAGTCTGGAGGCGCAGTTTCGCAGCTCCTCAACGGACTGCATACTGATCACAGACCATCGCACCTCGAAAAGCAAGAGCCTCGAGCAACTGGAGGCGGCCAGGCAGGAGCATGAGGCAGAGCCCTCGTGTTGCATGAGCTATGCGAGGAATGCGTGTCGCATGAAGACGCTTAAGAAGCGCCTGCCGATCATTGAGTGGCTGCCCAAGTACGACAGGCAGGATGCCATTGGGGATCTGATAGCTGGCTTCACTGTGGGCCTCACAGTCATTCCGCAGGGCTTGGCCTACTCGGGCGTGGTGGGCTTGCCCGCAGAGTCTGGTCTTTACGGCTCCTTCCTGGGCTGCTTTGTCTACGTCCTGCTGGGCACGTGCAAGGACAATACCATTGGCAGCACAGCCGTGGCCTCGCTCATGACATACCAGTTCGCACACGGCTCCTGGGCGCACTCGGTGCTGCTCACTTTTCTCACCGGCTTCATTGAGATTCTGATGGCCATCTTCAAGCTTGGTGCCCTGGTGGAGTTCGTGTCGGGCCCGGTTAGCGCGGGTTTCACCAGTGCCGTGTCCCTCATAGTGCTCACATCCCAGATGAAGTACATTTTGGGCGTGAACAGTGAAGGTGGCTCGTTCCTGCAGAGCTGGATCAGCATGTTCCGCGACATCGATAACTTTCGCGTTTGGGACTGCTGCCTGGGCTGCGGCTGCTTAATCCTCCTGCTGGCCATACGCAGCCTCAGCCAAATACGCATTGGCCCAAAGCAGAAGTGCGAACGTAGCCAGCTGCAGCGCGTGCTCAACGAGATCATCAAATTTGTGGGCGTCACCCGCAATGCCACGGTTGTCATAGGCGCCACTCTGGTGGCCATGTACCTGGAGGCGAACGACAGGAATCCATTTCGGCTGACAGGCTACATACCGCCTGGCATGCCCACCATTTCACTGCCCAACTTCACGGTCGAGGCGCAGCCGGGCAATGCCACAGCCGGCATTCCCGCAGTGCCAGGCCAAAACTTCTTTGAGATGGTGCAGAGTCTGGGCTTTGGGCTGATTATAGTGCCGATTATAGCGCTGCTGGAGAACGTGTCTGTCTGCAAGGCATTTGCCAAGGACAGACAAATCGACGTGAGCCAGGAACTGTTCGCCACCGGCGTGGCCAACATGGCCACGGCCCTAGTGAGTGGCTACCGGAGCAACGGTGGTCTGGCCCGGTCCGCCGTCAACAATGCCAGCGGCTGTCGCACCAACATGTCCAATCTTTACATTGGCATCATAGTGGTGCTGTCGATCAGTTACCTCACCGAGTACTTCTACTTCATACCGAAAGCCGTCCTGGCCGCTATCATCATATCGGCCGTAGTGTTTCAGGTCCAGTACCAAATCGTAGGGCCGATGTGGCGCAGCAAACGTGAGCTCGACTCCTGAATTGCTGTCTTAAATTGTCTTCATTGTCTTCTCAAATTACAGGCTCTGATCTTGTGCCCGGTCTGCTGGCGTTCGTCACCTGCCTTGTGCTGCCCCTGGAAATCGGCATCGTTGTGGCAATCGGAGCCAATCAACTCTACATACTCTACCATGCGGCGCGGCCCAAGGTCACGCTGGAGCAACTGGAGACGGAGCATGGCATTAAGTTTATAAAGATTACGCCCGATCGTTGCCTGATATTCCCCTCGGTGGAGTTCGTGAGGAACATGGTGCTCAAGTCCGGCAGCAAGACCACGCTGCCCATTGTCATCGACTGCACGTACATTTTCGCTGCCGACTTCACGGCGGCCAAGGTGATTTCTTCCATGGTGGAAGATTTCCAGCGACGTCGTCAGAAGATCATCTTCTTCAATCTCAAGCCGAGTGTAGTTAGCATATTCGAGGGTCTCAAGACCAAGCTGGTGCTCTGCTACAATACGCACGCGCTCAGCCTGGAACTACTGCCCAATGCCGCAGATCTGTCGCAATCGGTGGACTCATTGGAGGCAGGCACCTCTACGGGTGACTCTGTAAGCATGACCAGCACTAGCACGCTCTCCTTGGCCAAAATGTAGATGCCTCTCCATGGATTAGAATTAAATATTAAACGTCTAATGCAATTCTAAGCGATATCGTAACATTTTCCTGCTGCCAATCAAACTTGAGCATTTATAAAATAAAGTACAGTTAATAAAATTAAAATATATGATAACATGAACTTTGAACTTTGATTTACTGCTGCATATGCTGATGCAGCTTGCTACGTATCTCAGCCTTGCGTCGCTCCCGCGTCGCGCGCTGCTTGGCTTCCTGGGCGGCGCATGCGGCACGCTCGGCCGCCTTTTGTGTGTTCCGGTAATCGGTTCGTGCGGCATCGAGTTGCCGGAGGAGCAGTTCGACACGCTTTTTGGCCGCCTCGACCAGCTGCTGTTTCTCGGTCAGCTCCTGCTGGGCGCCATTCGCAGCGTGCTCCGAGTTGATCACATTGGCCTGGGCATTCTTAACCGCCTCGCCGAGGGTCTTCAGCTGTACGCCGGCCTGCTTGGCCGCCTGCGCGGCTGCGTTGCAGTTGCTCTGCGTCGCTTGCAGCGAACCCATTTCTTCCTCCACGACCAGCTCGCCTTCACGCACCTCCGACTCCAGTTGCTCAACGATTTGCAGTTTACCTGCCAAAGCAGCGTCTGCAGCATTTGCTGCTGCCAATGCTTTGTCGGCCAACTGAATCTTCACCTGAAGCGCTGCATTTTCCGCGGCTGGCAACTGGGCATCTGAGGCAGCTTTCGCTTCCTGTGCCGCTTTCATGGCAATGCAAGAGGCCTTTTGCCTCGTGGCCGCATTCGGAGATAGTTTTATGTGGCAACCTTCGTCTTTCCTACCACAACCTTCCTTAGCATTGTTGCGCCCGTCATCGTATAGTAAGCTGGTCGAAGCTAGAGAACGTTTCTAAGACAGGCGATTTTCGATTTTCCCAGTTTAGAAAGAAACAGTAGCTTTAAGACCACTTACCTTGCCTATGCTGTGGCCCAGAGTTTGCGGCGCCGATGGACAGAGCAGACAGACTAGGACTAGGAGCACTGCAGCCTTAGCAGTCATTATATATGTATATTAAATTTCAAAGCTTGTTACGAATGAGGTCGGATAATATTTTGTATTCGAATAAGGGATGCTGTCAGACGAGCGTGGAAATTTATGTAAGATGACAAATTTTCAATGCGTTGCGAGCCTCTGGTGTTGATATGTATAATGAGCATCGTACTGGCGAGCAGAGCACACCACAAACGTAAGCCGTCCTGCAGTAAGGAGCAAGATCCATCATCTAAAGCAAGCTGTCAGTTCAACCTGAAATCCACAAAAATAGCCGCGACGGCAGCGGACGAAGCTAGCGCAGCCAAAAATGCCCAAAAGTGTGCAGGTGAAGAGGCCGGACAACGGGCCATGTATCGACTGGCCGACAAGGCCGAGCAGGCTGCTCGAGCGGCTGAAGCGGCTCTGAATGGCAAGAAGCAGCTCCTCGAGCAACTAGAGCAGAGTCAGTGCGAAGCCGATGCTGTCATAGAAGAGGTTAAGAAGGCTCTGGCCAGTAGCAAATGCAACATAAATACAATTGTCCGCGTCGCTGCAAGCATTAAAAATCATCAAGAGGTCATGCAAAACTTTCTAGAAGCTTCGAGGGCGAATTTAGAGAGATATAAGGAAATAGCGGCCTGTGCCAATAATGAAATACGGGAAAAGTATATGATACTCATGAACGTTAGCAAGCGAGAGGAGGAATTAAAAATATGCATGGAGAAGGCCAAAAAAGATCTTTGCCGAACCGAAAAAATTGCCGAAAAGGCGGAGACTGCAGCGGTGGAGGCCACTCAGCGTGTAGAAATGGCACGAAATTTGTTCCAAAAGACAAAGAAACTTAAGAAGAGAGACTTGAAATTATTTCAACGGATATTTAAGAAATTTGTCAAAACATAACAAACAATGATTAACGATTAATTATTTAATTTTATGATAAATAATTTAATATATTTTATACAAACTTTTTCGGGTTATCAATTGTTATTTATAATCAACCATAATAAGTAGAGATACAAAACTTTTAAATTCTGCAATGCGCGCTTAAATGCGAAAAATGAGCAAAAAATGGCAACTCTAAAAGTGCTGCTCAAATTCGTTATCGATATATCGACGCTTCACTATCGATAGCTGAACTAGTATCAATTTTCCATCCCCAAGCCGCATGAAAGTTGTAGAAAAAATATTTAGAAAACTTGTGTTACCTTTGGTAAAGATATTATTGTGAAATATTTGAACACATTCAAGTCGAAAATGGCGCGCAAAAATGCACAGGCCGAGGATCTCTCAAATGTGGAGTTTGAGACAAGCGAAGATGTGGAGGTAATACCCACCTTCAATGCCATGAACCTAAAGGAGGAGCTGCTACGCGGCATTTATGCGTACGGTATGTTTTTGTGTGTATGCATAAAGAATCGCCCGCTATTAATCCTAATATACATGTAGGCTTTGAAAAACCATCTGCTATACAACAGCGCAGCATAAAGCCAATTGTGAAAGGACGCGACGTTATCGCGCAAGCACAGTCCGGTACAGGCAAGACAGCGACATTTTCCATTTCCATTTTACAAAGCCTGGACACAACGCTGCGTGAAACACAGGTCCTGTGTCTGTCCCCCACACGCGAGTTGGCTGTCCAAATCCAGAAGGTTATTCTAGCCCTGGGCGACATGATGAACGTTCAGTGCCATGTCTGCATTGGCGGCACAAACCTGGGCGAGGACATACGAAAGTTGGATTACGGCCAGCATATAGTAAGTGGCACACCTGGTCGTGTCTTCGACATGATCAAGCGACGTGTCCTCCGTACAAGGTAAGCTGTGCAATATATTGTCAATTAAAATATATTTAACATGTATTGTTTGTGCATTTTGCAGAGCCATCAAGATGCTGGTGCTCGACGAGGCAGACGAGATGTTGAATAAGGGCTTCAAGGAACAGATCTATGATGTCTATCGGTATTTGCCGCCAGCTACTCAAGTTGTGCTCATTTCCGCTACATTGCCCCATGAAATTCTGGAAATGACCTCCAAATTCATGACTGATCCCATTCGAATTTTGGTCAAACGGTAATAAAATAGAAATATTTACGTCCATACCGAATCATATATAATCATAATCCCGCTTTCATTACAGCGATGAATTGACGCTGGAGGGCATTAAACAGTTTTTTGTTGCCGTGGAGCGAGAGGAATGGAAGTTTGACACCTTATGCGATCTCTATGACACATTGACCATCACCCAGGCGGTCATTTTCTGCAATACTAAGCGCAAGGTGGACTGGTTGACGGAGAAAATGCGCGAGGCCAACTTCACGGTCAGCTCAATGCATGGCGACATGCCACAAAAGGAGCGCGACGAGATCATGAAGGAGTTCCGTGCCGGCCAGTCCCGCGTCCTCATCACCACCGATGTGTGGGCGCGTGGCATAGACGTGCAGCAGGTGTCCTTGGTCATCAATTACGACTTGCCCAACAATCGTGAGCTGTACATTCACCGCATCGGTCGATCGGGCCGCTTTGGACGCAAGGGCGTTGCCATTAACTTTGTGAAATCGGATGATATACGCATTTTGCGTGACATTGAGCAATATTACTCGACGCAAATCGACGAGATGCCCATGAATGTGGCTGATTTAATCTAATACCCAATTCTATTAACCCTAGTTTATTGAACATTTGTACCACGGCAAACAATCTTTTCTTAGCTGTAGCGAAACTATGAACTACGACAAATGAAATGAATACATTAGAAGCGTATTTCACATACAGCACACAACCACAATCTGTATATGTAATTAATAATAACAATTAAGAATTGAATACAGAAACCAGTTTGCTTACAAAAGTTGAAGGCCGAATGAGTCTAAAAGCGAATGAGTAACACATGATTTTAGACGTTTCCCCGAGGCGATTTTCTGAATAATGTCAACAAATTGCATTAAATACCATTAAAACTTCTACAAAATATAACCGTAAAATAATTAAACTATTTAGCTATGTACAGACTTTGGTCTAGAGCGAACCCGCAAATGAAGGATGAAAATTAAATTAACACCACAGCCACACAACCGTTCAGCTAATTACGTCCGGCTTTGATTGGGGCAAAGGTACATATGATGGAGCTGTCACAGGTGGTAGCGCTGCTTTACTATGTTTCTTGCTGTCGTCCGACTTCAGCAAAGTGCCCAGCACGATACCCAGGAAAAGAATTAGGCCCACCTGCTGGTTGGAGAGAAACTTCTTGGCGCAGTCACTGGGATTGTCTATGTTGAGGGAGTAGATCTGAGGAGTAGTGATTGATTAGATTGCAGTTATTATATTCCACTCCACTGCGTGCTCACCTGCTGCACCAAGTGCGCTCCGACGACGCCCACTGCGGTATAATAGGGCAGAGTCTGGTCACAGGCATAGCCGGCAGAGGTGAGCCCCGCCAGCATAGCTGCTGTAAAGCAGGAGAGCCAGACTTTTGTGTTCTCTCCAAAGCGAAGCGCCGTCGACTTGACGCCTATCTGCAAGTCGTCCAGCTTGTCTTGGTGGGCATAGATGGTGTCGTAGACTATAGTCCAGCACACACCGGATAGATAGAGTGGCAGGCAGGCTTCCAGATTAACGCTTCCCTGAGTGGCACACCAGCCAAGCAGGGCGCCCCAGTTGAAACACATGCCGAGCACCAGCTGGGGCCAGTAGGTGACGCGCTTCATCAGCGGGTACGTAATCACCAAACCCAGCGAACTGGCGCCGAGCAGGATGGACTGCCAGTTCAGCTGCACCAGCACAAGCAGACCCAGGCTAAGCTGCGCTGAGAGAAATACAATCGCATCGAACTGCGTAATCTTTCCAGAGGCCAGAGGGCGAGTGCGCGTTCTTTCCACCTTTGCGTCGATATCTTTGTCCCACATGTCGTTGATGGTGCAGCCCGCGCCGCGCATAATCAATGCGCCCAATGCAAAGAGTCCCAGCATCGAAAAGTCTGGCCAGCAGCCGGCGTCAGCACTCAGAGCTATGCTCCAGCCGCACGGCCAGAAGAGCAGATATGTCCCGATGGGTCGGTCTATACGCATCAGCTGTGCGTAGGGCTTAGCGGCGTCGGCCAGTTCCTGTAACAGTGTTGCTTTATGCGGCGTCTTCCTCTCCTGGTTCGAAGATTCCGACAGCGTTGTCGTGGTTCTTTGGTGAAGCCTCCAACTTGTCATATGTTCCTGCAGCATCAACAGTCTTGGCATGCGATACTCGCTGCTGTATGTATGTAGACCCACATAGACACGCGCCGGCACAGCTGGCATGTGTTTTGTAGTTGTTGCTTTTGCAGTTGTTGCCGTCGCAGCATATGGCAAATGTATTTTAGCCCTGCCTTGTAGTCGCAAGTGTCGTAACGCAAACATATTACTGCTGTGTTTAGTGACTTTCTTATTGGAATACTGTACACATTGGGGAACGCAGTCAGATTCTATCTACTGCGGCACCACTTCGCATGTAACAAATGGCAAGAATTTCTATCTCTATTTTGCGGCTTAGCAATATACTATCGATATATCGTCATTTGAAACATAATATTTATGTTATCGATATTGTTCCCAGGGAATTTTAGCTCCTGCTTATGTCTATAACTTAAGAAATCTTGAATCAATTTCAATTCTATAGCCTTCATAATGTAGCTATACATCACAATTAAAGCATGCAAACTCTAAATCAGAAAAAATACTTTTTAAAAATTTCCCTGTGTTGTAGAAGCAGATATGAGTGCTGCCACATCAACAAATAATGATCCTTTAATGTGTTTGCAAAAATAGTTACTCAGATTTCAAATATTTTGTCTAACGTATTTTGTATTGAAGTACTGTACTTTTCTTTTAAAAATCTTACAGAGTTTTATTGGTATTTTAGAGTCATAAGTAATTTAACATACATTTAAAATATGATTTATTAGCAAAAGTTTAAAAATGAGTGTGTGTTTTTATTTTTTTTAAGTCCTCATATTTGCTGAAGTTCTCTAGCATAATAGTCAGTCAGAATAGTCAATATTTGCCTTAGCTTTTTAGGCTAATTTTTGGCAATAGCTTTTACCAATTTTCCATCGAATGACCCAACCATTTAGATCAGTGGAATATCGTTTACCGATTTGCTGCACACGGCACCAATCTTTCGATGTCTGCACACGGCAAAGAATAACCGTAACTTTTGCACACGGCCGTAAAGAATTGTTTGCACTCGGCCATTATTGGATTGCGGCTAGGCAGCAGTTAGGAACAAAACATGGGCAAAGCCAAGTGGGCCTAATGCAGACATCAAGCAAATATGTTCCTCGACGGTCGTTATTGAAACAGTAGTTACCAGCCCGAATACAATAAAAAAAAAATACTTGACCAATTAACAATAATCTTAATAGCCACATAAATTGAACTTTAACAAATCCATATATCATTCTATGAGTTGAATTTCACCAAGAATAATAAAACTTTCTGACGGTTATTAGGTATATGACCCTGATGATGATTTGACGATTATAGCCAACTACCCAGCATGCAGATCTCTAACTGATTGCAGTACATATGGGCAATCATTTGCATGTGTCTGCTCTCCCGCTCTCACCCACTCTCTCTGCTGCTGCTCCCGTCTCTATGTTGCTCTCTCTCCCGCACACCTGTCACTTACTGGTGTCAACATCGCTGGGCTGGTGCTCGCGTGTGGGCCATCGCTCATGATATTACCGCCTGCAGTCCGCTTCTGCTGGCTGATAACACACATATTTCTCAGAGATAAGCGTATCGGGTATCGCCTTGGCGGGATTAGTGTCAGGTTTTCTTTAAAAAACAGCATACGCTCGTTTCTGCCAAGCATTCAACGTTCCGTTCTCAGCAGTTAAGCAAGTGTCTACGCGGTTATCACTAGCTTAGGCGCTCAACATACTGTTTCACCTTGCATCCAATCGAATTAGTTTCACGATCCGATCGCAATGGACTTGATGTCGATGGCTCATGACGATGGGCATACAGGCGCTGCCGCCCACACTTGTCCCATGATCATGGTGGTAAGTTCCACTAACTTCAATTGCACTCACGGCAACTGCAACAGCAACTGCATCAGCAACTGCATCAGCGACTGCATCTCTTACGGCAACACTTGCAAATGCAGACATACATACATATTTATTTATTTATTCGTGTGCATTCAAAATTCATTGCAGCGCAGAGAGAGAGAGAGAGAGAGAGAGTGAGAGTGAGAGTGCGCGAAGATTTATTTTAATTAGCATCGCATTTAATATATGTATGTACATACTTATTGTGATCTGCCAGTTTTTACTCAGAGCACATCTCGCACTCACACACACGCACACGCACACAGCAATGCAAACACAGCCGTTTAGCTGCGATGCTTAATTTTAGCTCGCTCTCACACTCTCTCGCATCGCGCCCCTGCAATCATTTACGCTCTGCTCATATGTATACATATGTATGTCTGTATGTATGCCTAAGAGTTTGTTTGTGGAGCAAGAGACAAACATTAAGAAATACCGGGTGCTCCGGCGATAAGAAGACATGTTACATGCTATCATTTGTTGCGATAGTCATCGACTTTGCCTACGTCACCCTGTGATCGACTTGTGCGCTCAATACTTGCATCTCTTTCTCGCCCCAATAGTTTCATGGCGGCCACTGCGAGCGAATTCTGTGGCGCAGTTGGGTGGCCTACACCGTTACCGAATTCGCCTTCTCCTGCATTGCCTTTTTCGCGATGTCTTTCCTGTACGAGTTGCTGAAGTTTCTTCGCGTTCAACTGACTCGCCGTGAAGCACGCAAGGAGGCTGAGCAACTGGCCGAGGAGCAGCGTCGCAAAGCTTTGGGCGACTGCAACGGCTGTTCTGAGACGCAACTGGCCGAAATCAGGGATAAGACCTATTGGCAGCGCATCTTCAATATGCCTCACATCATACAAACCCTCTTGAACTTCATCCAACTCATCATCTCGTACTTGCTCATGTTGGTCTTCATGAACTTCAACTATTGGCTGTGCCTGTCCGTGATTTTGGGCCTGGCCTTTGGCTACTTCTTCTTCGGGTATGTCCAGAAAGATCCGAAGGATAGCGACTGTTGTCCATAGTCTGGACCCCATTAAACCTAAGCTCACACTTTCGGCCTACTATATCGGAATTAATTATACTTTTAATTCCACGCAATATTACTATAAATACATATACTCAAGACAACCGCACTCAATACTGAGTATACTCAAATTGGAGAATGGAAGGCAACCGGGATTATTAGACACGCACAGCAAGGATAATACGAGAAGATGATCATTTCAACTTCTCACTTTAGCAGCAGGGCATATATCAAAATACAGCCTGGAGAATTTACAGCAGCAGTAGTTTCTCGCTAATATTACGTGCACCTGACACACTCCGCTTGCGCAACTCATCTTATCACATAGTTCACGGCTCATAATGCTTGGGAATCATCTCTTCTATCCACTTATCAAACGAGATTGAGTGAATTCCCAATTCACTGGACTTGGGTATCAAAGTGGATACCTAATGACAATGAAAGCAAAATTGATCTAGCATCAGGCCTTACCCTCTTTCCACTTTCCACTAATCATCATCACTGGCTTGGATGTAAAAGAAAACATGAACAATGCTGAAAACTAATATGCTTCATACAATGCTGACATGCGCACACATTCACATATATATTTCTAACCTCTTTTTAACCTAAAACACCTACTAACACTTTCTGCCTATCCTAATTTTGTTTTTTTCCTTTTTGTCCTTATCTATCCTTATCCACATCCACATCCTTACTATCCACTTTCACATTCCTATTATCCAGTGTCTTTAGCTCTACACTATACAACCTATCCTACACAGATAACATTGCTGTCATTTCTTTCATTCCATCATGACTTCAATCACAAATTCTATTTGGAAACACGGTTGCTCCATTTGGCCAACAGCTGCTGCATATCTCATTGAGAAACCGCATCAAAGTGAATACCACACATGGTGGACAAACTGGGAAACCAGCAATAAAGACATCCTGCACAAACTTAAAGTCAAGCACATTTATGTTATTCAAAGCACCTGCACCACACATAGGCAAAGCATGCATCTAACCCTTACCCTCTAGCACACACTCCCCCTTCACACTTAGCACCTCGTATCCCTACCTGGCACAACCACCCAACTGCACAGTTCCTTCCAAAAACCCATGCATATCCCCACTCCAGCACTTGCACTTCCACACAAATTTGCACCTAATAAAAAAAGATTTGTCAATGAGAAAAGTGTCTTCAAGCTTGAAGCTACACTCTAAAATAAAGTATACTCAGAAAAGAAGAAAGTAGATTTAGATTGAGGTAAGCTCCACCTTCAATCAGAGCATAATTCTTGTCAATCCTCTTTACCGCATAGTTATTACAAAAATCGACACTTTTTTTTTTTGGCTAAAAAAAACAAATTTATTTTTAAAATTCTTCTTTAAGATTTATGGCATAAATAGTCAACTAGAATTTACTTAAAGAGCATATTGTACAAATAATTATGAGAACAAGAACCTATGTAATAATAAAGTTTTTACATATTATAACACAACTCAATACTTTATTACTTTCTTCGAACAATCGAAAAGTTGCTATAAATGTGAAAAACAAATGAAAATCTCCAGAATTACATACATCAAATTCGTTGAAATAGAGAGCTCCCCGGAGCCGTTGGTCCCACCTGGCAGACCTAGCAGACCTAACAGTAGTACGCTTACCTAGTATCTAGATCCCTTGGCCAAAAAATATTCATCCCATAAGTACTGGAGCAATATGTGATTTCGGCTTAAGTGTTAGTTTGATATTCAAGTGCGATCCCTAGTCTAGAGCCTTAAGCTAATTGCGTATTTTAATCATATATGTTATGTATATATATATATATATATGTATATGTATACCGTAGTTAAACCCTTCACTCATGCCTGACTAACAATTCGAGCTGCCTGCACTCACTCACAGCTGGACGCGATTCGAAAGCAGTCCAACTGACAATAACCGAACCAGGAGGAACTAGGATGGGCCGTTGCCTCATAAGCCGGTTGCCCCGGCCGTCATCATGCCGCCGTGGTGGTGGTGGTGGTGCATGCCGCCATTTTGAAAGTACATGTAGTAGTTGTAGGGCGGCTGCTGTGCCGCCCCGCCCTCGCAGTCCAGCAGCGGCTGTCCCCCGTTGGCGGCGCCCACCGGCGATGGCGTCATGGGCAACGGGGACACCGTGTTGCCCTGGCAGCTGGCGCGCAGGGCAACGGCCTGGTGGTGCGCCAGAATGTCGGTCACCGAGTGCGACGAGGGCCAGTGGGCGGCGGCCACGCTGCGCAGCTGATGCGTCTGCCCCGCCTGCGGCGGCGAGGGGCTGCCACAGGAGACGGCCTTCATGCTGTACGCCGCTGCCGCACTATACGGCTGGTAGATGGAATTGTAGAGATGGGCGTGGGCGTGCGCATGATGAGCGCTGGCCGCCACCGCGGCTGCCGTGTGCTGGTGATGATAGTGATGTTGGTGCGCGGAGTGTGTGTGCTGCACGGCATTGACGTTGGCCACATTAGCGCTGCTTGCGCTGCCTCCGCTGCCGCCGTTGCTGCCCATGCCGATGGCTGCGCTGCCGGCGCCAGCACTGCCAGCTCCATGGTGATGACCTATGCTGCCCAGCTTGTTGCGCAGTATGCGCGAGATGGAGCTGACGCTGGGCACGTTCGTCTTGTCGCAGATGCCCTCGCTAAGCAGGCGATCGCGAATCTCCCAGGCAAAGATGCCCGGATCCCGCTGCTTCAGCTCGCGTATGTAGTTGACCACCTTGGGCGTGGTGACGCGCGGCTTGGAGCCGCCAATGGCACCCGGCAATATGGAGCCGGTCTCGTGGTAGCGCGCCAGTATCTTCGAAACGCAGCCGTGACTCACGCGCAGCTGGCGCGAGATGTCGCAGGGTCGGATGCCCAGCCGGGCCAGCTCCACGATGCGCATTCGCGTCGCATTCGGCAGCGGCCGGCCGTTCACAAAGACGCCGCCCAGCTGATTCACTTCGCCGTACTGCGGGCACTGCGACTCTGAAAGGAGATGAAGCACAGGGCACTGAATTAGTATATGTGTGTGTGTGAGTGTGAGCATAGAAAGCTGAAAGAAGAAGAGGAAGAACAACAACAACAACAAACACAGCTAATGAGAGGGCGAACAAAAGCACATTTGCGTCTAATTAGCTTCGGCTGGGCAGCCGGGAGCGGGTCCAAGTCAATGGAACTCTAGTTCGCCTGAAAATCGCAACATTTGCTTCCCAGAACTGCGGATGTGGGTGTAGACGCATATGTGTCTGTGTGTGTGTTTGAATCTTGTGGGATAGCGAAAAAAAACACACACACACACACACAGAAATGCGCCGAACGTGCGGAAATGCATTTTGTATATGGCGCAATGATTAGATTGTAGCTGTCCCAACGGCATTGGGGTTTACCTATCTGAGCAATGGTATAACTTGAAATAAGTATTAGGTAATATTTACTACTACTAGTACTAGTATAGTATATATAGTACTAATAGGCTTATCAGAGATTATATAAATGGGAGCTGTTAGATATTGCACTTCATAAATATTTTATTATGCTGTACATAATCTTAGCCAAAGTATAAAATTATTTATGAGAAGCAATGGGCCTACGTCAGTTGGCTAACTAAAAATCAAGATTTTCATTTTAGTTTATAATAGTCAAATACTTCTATCATTAGCATTTAAGTAGTTAATGATCTTTTTATTTTCCCAATTTACTATAATAACCAGATGACATTATATACTAAGGAAAAACTTATTCGCTCAACGAGTTCCACTTCCACTTCCAATCTTGCTGTAAAACGGACATTTAATATTCCCTTGACATCTTATCGGCATAAAAAAGTCCTACAAGTTCCGCATTTTCAAATCTCAGAAGGAATACTATCTTCATTCTATATACCTCAAAGAAATATGGCTAGATTTAATTAAATATATTTTTTCTTCATTTTCTATCAATTTTAAATGAATTGTTGTGGCAAACCAGAAGGCAAAGTATCATATGCACTACAATACAATTACAATTCATAATAATGGCCGATAATTATGGAAAAAATAATTTAAGCCAATTGGTCGTATCACCTGCTCTCGCAGCTACTCCGACCCCGTTGCCAATTCATTACAGTCACTTGTAAAAGTTTGCACATCTGCGCCTTATGCCGTCGTCTAATTTAGAATCATGTAATTAGCTTCAAGTTACACAACAACAATAGCAACAACAATAAGAAGAAGAAGAAGACGAAGACGAAGACTTAGCAAGACGAGGCAAGTTTAACTAAGAACACGTACAGAGCCAGCAAAGTGCCTCAAAGAGCGCCATAAAAATCACAATAGGGCTGCCGAGTTACACGCGCCACAAGTTGCAGGCTGCAAGCTGCAAGCTGCAGAGCTGCGAGCTGCGAGCTGTGGATGAAAGAATCGAACAAAGACCTGAAAATTGAAGAATTGAGCGAGGAAAAGCAGAGATTGAGGAGAAAGTGGCCGAGGGGGCGGGGGGCTCGCGCGTCTGTGGAACAGAAAACAAGTGTATCGACCTCGATTGTTTTTTCATTCACAACTGAAAATTGCGGCTAGTAGCTTAACGAGGCGCTCGCCATTGCCATAATTAAAATACTGTGTTGGGACTGTTGCGGCTACTCGGATCGGATTACAGTCCAAATTGGAGCCCCCCCAGACACTTGTTGCCCCACTGAACTGCAGCAGGCGGCATCAGCAGACTGCATCGAATTTCATGTACTTTATGGCTAAATGCATTTGCGCACTTGTCAATTGCACTTCGATCACATTTTGCTTTTTTTTTTTCTTTTTGATTTTCGTTTTTCGCTTTGCCCCGTTTGGGGCCATTCGCCAGACAAATGGGCCACGCGAAACGTGCAGCTGCATAAATAATAATCTACCTACAAAGTCGAGTTTCATTGAGAGCAATGCCTAGACTACAGATATAGAGCTATGCATAGATCATCCGCTGGGACTAGTGCGAAAACCCAGCATCATAAAGGCAATAACTATTTGCTTTGCATAATTTTTAAACAGACGCATTTGAGAAACAATAAACTAGCCGCGCTCTATAAAAACCGATGGATCCCACAGTTCGTCTGCCAGTCAGAGTCAAGATGCTAGTTAGAACTAAACTGATTATTCTGCTCTATTTGTGCCTCGCGCTGCACTCCCAGGCAACGCGGGCAAATCCTGCGGAGGAGCGCGCAGCTAGAACGGTAAATATAAACTCCCCACGATTCATGACTCATGACTCACTCAAATATCTATATTTGCAGAAGAACGATGTCTACGATTGGATATCGAGTCTATTCGGGGACTACGACAGCGACGAGTCGGAAGAGTATTGTATGAAGCAAGCGACTCTGCCTTTAGGTTCACCTATTAATCCGATTTACTTTTCTAGTAATTTGTCGCAACTGCACGGTTATTGTGGGCCAGGCGAACAACACGGCTGCTACCAGTCCGCCAGCAACAGTTGCACCTACTCCGAGTGCTCCAACTGCTGCCCCAACGGCGAATCCTGCCGCAACTACACCAGCTGCGGTGGCTCCTCCGGCTGCTACAACTGCTGCCGCTCCGCCTGCCCCCGGTGCACGTTAACTAACGTCGCTCAGGCAGTTTAATTAATTTAAGTTTCAATTTACTTAAAGGGATTTGGTTATACGAATAGAATATGTCCGACATTTCTTGGACTCGTTTAGTCTTTGATGAATTGCAGCTATTTGCAGTGTAAATTTTGCATTTAATATATGTACATGTACATATGCATATGTATGTGTATTATGAAACAAGAGTTGAGCCAAGTGTTGTGTTGCTAATCCCAGCCAAATCTCAGCCAGAAGCAGCCACTCGCCATCCAACAGCCGCCAGATCAAGATCCACACAATTGTTTTGACATAAGTCACAACAAATCGGCTGGCGCTCAACGCAGACCCACACGCATTGCCGTCTGGTTCGTCTGGCTGGTGGATGGTGGCTGGTGGTGCGAGCAGAGACACTCWCTGTGGTGTGGCTGGTCGGTCGGTCCATTCAGCTTGAGGCTCGGTGGTTTTCCTGTGCTGTTTGTCGCCTTTGAACATTTCGCCTGGCATTTTCCCAGTGACAGCCAATGTGAGACGCCGGCAGCCCAACTTGACATTATGTTTGACATTTGTAATCTTGCGATCGTTAATTATTTTCGAATTGAGCTACAAAGGGGGCCCACGTAGCACAGGCACAGAGCCACACAGGAGTAACGCCAAAGATCATACACATTCGACAAATGTTCCCTTTGACGTAGCAGTTGTTGTTTTTTATTTTCTACTTCGTCTGCCTGCTATCCGGCGGGGTATTCGTTGCGCCTGCCTCTGCGACTTCGACTGCTCCGGCATTTGTGGCATCCGCATTGATAGCTGCAATTTGTTGCTCTACTCAACAACATTATCTTCGAGTGCTTGACTTTTGTGCTAAACGTTCATAAATTTGTCTCCACAAATATTTTCAGTCTTAGTCTGCCCCGATGAATGGTGCGCCTCCTCGCATTCAGTTGTTCCCCATTTTTTTGTTGCTGTTGTTTCAGATCAATGTTTACTGCGTCATTTGAATGGCTTTTCAAATACGCATGACATCAATTTTCGGCAATTATTAAAGATTAATGGGCGCCAAAGTTGACCACTCGAATGTGCAGTGCGTACGCCTAGTTAATTATTATATTGAGTTATGAATATGCCTCGATAAGACAGAGCTCCAAGCTAACTAGCCCGAAAAATTGCCGGACTCAAACACATTGAACTTGAGCTGGAGATAAAGTGGCAACTGCAGCAGTTCTATATGGGCTTATCATTCCAGCTTGATGATCTTTAGCCCCCAATGGAAAGCTAATGTGCGGCTCTTGTGATTTATGGCCAATTGGGCATTAACATCCGGCCGGCTCAGAGTCAGAGCCAGAGCTGAAGCCGGAGCCGGAGACGGAGACGGAGCCTGCAGTCAAATTAGTCACGTATTTTTGCTATTAGCGCTACAATTCAATTCCCCTTAATTCGCCTTCGATCGGGGCTCGAGATGAGTCAAGAACTTTATATGCAAAGATTATTCGCGACGTGCCAAACACAAATTTGTCCCAAACGCAAATTTCGATAAATTATTGCCATGCATCTACAACGTATCATAGAGTTTATCCAATAAAAGTTAGCATTCAGCTGTTAGATATGAGATGATCTTGTTAAACAACAAGTTTCAGCATCACGGACCCCACAAAAACAATATATGGAAACAAAGTAAATACATATGTATTTAGAGATTCTATTGCAATGGGCGTGCGGAAAGCAAACACTACTTAGCTGAGAGTCCACAGAGATTTAACTCAGAGCTACCGTCGCGTCGCCTGCAGTGACCCTTCCGATCGTGCCACAATGACCCGCCGTCGGCATTGCATTGTTGTTGKTGTTGCTGTTGTTGTTGTTGTCTGGTTGGCTTGGTCGGCTGGTCTTATTAAAGGTGCAAACATGCCACCGCCGTTGAGGATTCAAATTCGAGAGAGTCGCGTCGGTTACGATCAGAGGCCGATGCATGCACGATGAGCGGGGCAGCCAGCTCCCAGCTCAGGTGCAGCTGAAGTGTTTGCCCGTTGCCGTTGTCGTTGCCGTTGCTGTTGGGTTTATTTTGCGTGTTTGTTTGCTTTTGGAAACCTTCGAATGTAGAGAGCCCACTTTTCACGTAGACAGACTCTATACCTATGCATGTATTATTGTTTATTTAATTTTAAGTTACGCATAAAAAACAGAAAAACAAAAAAATCACTGACAAAACTGGGCTTGGGCTACTTCAGTGCACGCTCTGGTCCATGTTTGCTCTGATGTCTATAAAGAATAAATTCGTAAGATAGAGCTACTTTGTCTCTAATGAGTATCCGCATCCTGCCAATTCCACGCAGTCACTCAGCTAATCAAGGCAAACAAGCCGGCGAGAGATCGACTGCGATCGGTAGTAGCTGCGCTTCTGTCGCTTCTGTTAATGAAAAGCAAACAC